GTGAGATAGCTGAAGCTGTGGGGATATTGGAAGAAAGGGTATAAAACATCCTGCATAAAGAATTAGGGATGCGAAGCTTTGTGCAAGATGGGTGCAGCGTTTGCTGAATGCGGATCAAAAGCAAATGCACAAACAATTTTCCCACCAGTCTTTGGACCGATTCAACAGGGATTCTACCGATTGTGTACGGTGATTTGCCATTATAGATGAGACATAGATCCATCACTACACGCCAGAAACAACAATCCAAGCAGTAGGTGGAAGCCAGTGGTTTAGTGCCAAAGAAATCGAAGGCAATTGCATCTTCTGGAAAGGCCATGGCCAATGTGTTTTGAGATGCAAAAGGGATCCTGTAAGTTGATTACCTTGCATAAGGGAGAACAATTACAGGTGGATATTTCTCCAACCTTCTTGGCCAGCTAGATGCCAAAAATTTGTGAGAAGAGGCCTTGCTTGAAGAAGAAAAAAATCATCTTTCACTAGGACAACACACCTGTGCACAAGGGTGCGTTGGCGATAGAAAAACTGCAGGATTTGGGTAATGATTTGCTCAGTCTTCTCCCCTCCTATTCTCCTGATTTGGCACTTGTGAATTCCAAGAAGGAAAAAATGTAGTGAAATATCCTTAAAACAGCAGTCAACAGTCTAGACACTTTTGTCTCCTGTTGATGTTCTGTTTTTTAATTACGGTCTCCATGAAAGGAATTTACTTTTAACCCCTTAACTGCTGCAGAAAACGTACAAGATTTATTTCCCAGTGCCACGATTTTTCACACAAGCACACATAGAGGGGGAAAATAAGTGCAAGTTTTACTTTCACAAAATAAAGAATAAAAGAAAAAAAAAAAAAAAATGAATGCACAAAATTTAATGTTTTGAGTAAAAGATGTAAGTATAATAAAAATTATGTTTTTATAATAAAAAAGATCCCTAAAATGGAGTTTTGATCAATTCATTTTTAGACCAGTAATGTGTAATATCAGGTTTCAGTGTTATACCTTGTGAAATCAGTATGCCTAAAAAACATATATTTTTATATGTTTTATATGTTTATATATAACTGGTTGAATGCCATGATTTTGTTCTTGATTTTTTTTTTTGCAAGATGTTGGTTCATATACTCGTCTAAAAACGGTTAGTTTCAGTAATAATATGAAGTACGAGCAGTTCATCAAAAAAATAATTTAAAAAAGATAAATGGGTTTGAAACATCTGTTGTATCTTTCTTTATTCCTGGAACCTACTACAAAAAGTAAACTAAAACGGAGGACACAGAATAAAAAAAAATACGTTTTACTCAAACAACACCAGCCAATACCGCGCAGTCATTACTTTCACCGCTTTAGACACATCCCTGTCTCCAATTTCTCCCCACACTTCTCTGAAATAGTATCCTCCTTCACATACATTGTCAAGGTCATTGTGGTGTTCATTCCAAAGCTTTGCGAATAATTTTACAGGTAGCAGTGCAAAGCAAATGATAGTAGTTTGAAAGGGCGTATATATGCGCCCATGACAGTTAACGCATCAGCTGAGCAACCGTATATATACACCTGCGGCAGTTAAGGGGTTAATGAAACTGAATAGCACACATAATTCATAACATGGACTTTAATTTAATGAATAGTATTTGTTATTATTATCCATTCTTTATTACTATCATTTGAATGGAATTTTGATCATTAAATTCATGCTATTTCTCTGGTAGAAATTCCTGGATAAGGTATGAATGTTTATAATTTTGTTGTATTTGAAGACTTGGGTACCTAAAATTTGTCAATGGGAAATTATTTTTGAGATATTGGTCGTAAATAGAAATGACAGCATATGTTGAAATTAAACTCTTTTTGGTGCTTTAATATGCATGTCTGCCAGTGAGTGAAGAATTGTCATAATCTGTCAGCAAAAAAATAAAATAAAATAAAATAAAATAATTAAAAGTAATTACTTCTGACAACAGACGTGTATGAAACTTACATCTAGGACATCTCACAGCAGAGTTTAATTTGAATTACTCATATGATGTAAACATACCAGTTTGCAGAATTATCCACAAAAATTCCTGAAAGTTAGTGTTTACTATGTACTGTAGTCTCTCGGGTGTAAACCCTTTTTTTCAGAAAAATCATATGAAACTCAGGGGTGTGGCTTATACATGCAAATTATTAGAAATAGATGTATACAAACAGCTGGCAACACAGCAAAATGTATTTAATGATTGAGCATAAAATACATTGTTGGTTGACGTTTCATAGTATTGTACTAGTCGTGGTTGCTTATCACGGTGACCAGTTGTGAGATACTAGTACTAGTGATAATTGATACTGGTAGTGCAGCCAGCTATTGTAGTGATCGACAGTGACAGTGAATAAAGAGTGCTAACCACAGAAAAATGTTCCTTTTGATTGAAAATAAAAAAGAAAAAAAATGTATGGTAAGTACTGTTTTTTGCTTAACTGCTTTTATACCTGCAAGATGGAAAAATATTATAAACAGGCTATCTGTCACTTATCCTCAAGTTTTTTTTTTAATTAGGCATATTTAGAATATCGTATTTCTCCTAAGAGAAATTATATATAAAAATTGAAGAAGGTTTTTATATATATAAATATGCCATGTGCATGTTTATAGTATAGAGAGTACTACAGTACAATGCAGAAATATTCATACTGCTTTTGCACAGAAATATAAGTATTGCCAAGTATTGGTCTTTCCAAAAAATATCTCTAGACCATTTCGTGCTTTTTCTTTTTTTACCTTCTTCCGTTGCCTCTTGGCTTGTAAGAAGGGCAGATAAAAGAGCATTCTGTTCAACCAGTAAAACTTTGCTGTGAGCAGAAAAAGCCATGACACAAAATAACGAAAACAAGCAGAGCGAGCGCGGGAAATCAATCGAGCTGGAAAACGATGCGCGAAAAGTGTAGACACATCCACGCATGTGCAAATTTAGCTTCTCTCATTGGCCACAGCTTAGATCCCCATCTCGCAGGTGTGAATGGAACTCCCGTATTTTATGCCCTTATGACTATGCGTCTATGCTTTTTATGCCACCATCTGAACGCAGTTTAAAATAGTAGGAATATTATATTGGGCAAGAATGTTAAAAGGAATAGAGTTTTCTTAACTCTACATGTTTAAGTTCCCAAAGAGCTAATGGTAAAGAACCAATGATCACTAAAGAAAATAGTCCATTTGAACTATACTAGGAATGGATCTCTTCGACTTTCAAGACAGAAATATCTAATATTTATAGGTTACTAATTCAGAAGTCAAACAACAAAAATCAGCGTTATATTTTCAAATTTATAGTTTATTTTAATAAATTTGTTGCAATTGGATTTTTTTAAGATTTGTCAAGGATAGCTGGGATAAAATAAGCTTTCATTTTTTTTTTCTCAAGATATAACATCCTGAAATTATATTCAGTTGGTGGTTTGTAGTATAATTAAAAAAAAAAAAAAAAAAAAAAAAAAAATTGCAATAGAGGGGAATTTTGAAGGCCAAATTATTTACTATAAAATGATATGGTTGAAAGATGTATTTAGATGGTAAAATAGGTATTAGGAAAAATTGTATTTTAGTAAGAGACTATAGTTAAGATTTCAATCTGTATTTAAGGCCTCATTCAGTTGAATTGTTTAATGTCAGTGGCAAAATGTTTTCAGTTATGATTGCATTCAGTATTCAGTTGAAATCATTAAGTTGTGTTTATTTCTGATCTTTTGGCTCAAAAATTACTGAAAAACCCATCATTTTGTGACGTGATGGATAGCAGTCTTAATGGTATTAAATGGATAAAAACGAGTAATTCAAATGGGGCATAGTTGGATTTGGAGGACAACCACTGGATTTACCGTAGTATTACCACTGGACCTACTTGATTTATTTCAGTATATAAAGGACCTAGTTGATTTATTTAAGTATATTCGGTATTATAATATTATCTCAGTTGTCATTGATAAAGGTGCGTGAGTTGTTAAAGTTGTGTCTATATTAATCTGTTGGGGACTATTCTGTAGAAATACAGGTTATTGTATTCAAATATTTTTTTTAATTCTTAAGTGTACATAATTCATACTCCCAGTTCTTATTTTTTCTTTCTTTATTTATAAATTATTAATGGCTACAGTCTCAGCAGGTTACAGTATCACAACATTACTTAAGGTATAGTATAACATTAAAATTGTAACTTACAAATAAATTTATATTACTTTTCTCCATAATTTTAAATATCAGTTTCCTTTGCTTTGTTATTTAAGATTGTACATGGGTATGAGGCTAAATGCTTGTTTTGTTAAAGGTTTTGTTATAGTGAAGGACTAAATTCAACTATGTGTTGCCATGCAAAAATGAAAAAAAAAATATCCTTAAATTAGAAATTCCTTTTATATATAGTTTTTATCATCTCTTTTCAGGTTTTCATTCCTCTCTATATTGGCAGCTAAATTCAGTGAAACGTAATTAAGATGTATATTTTCAATTTCTGTAGGTTGATTGGTAAGATTGATTTGTAATTTATTCATGTGCTTGCTGAAATTGCATGCTATCAAATGTTCAGTATTCCTTTTCTGCATTTTTCAGCTTTGAACTTTTTCAAAGATGGTACGAATTTCTTAATGCGTTATAAATACAGTACAGCTTTGATAAACCAAAATCAAAGGGAACATGAAAAGAAAAAACATGTCAAGCAAACCAAAATTGAAAATGTTTCAAGTAACCAAATTATGCAACATTTAACTGTCTGAAAAAGCAAACATGCATTTGAATTTTGTGTTTCAACATTCAGGTTGATATATTAAAAATATCAGCTTCTTGAAATTGTAATGTAATTTGACTTTTATTGAAAGACATTCTATTTAATGTGAAAATAGTATTTTTAGGTTATGTTGTGTGTATGAAACTGGTGTTGTGTGTATAAAACTTCATACAACTGGTGTATGTATGAAAATTTGCATAACATTTATATTTTAAGAATAATTTTTTCTGTTTTTGTCTTACAGGTAAATGATGCTAAAAAGGCAGTTGTAGACATAATAGCATGATGGCCAAGTAGTACTCATAATGCTTTTCATGTAGAAATGGAGTATTTTCAGAGACGTCTTTGTATCTCACCACATATGGAGATGAAATTTCCTTCTTGAGCATAATAGGTATGGTATTCTTTGGAATCATGGCTTCTTACTCAGTATTTCGGTCTTACTGCAGAGGTATAGATTAGACTCAACGGAAAACATGGAACTGTGAGTAGAATACAGTTATGTTTTATAAGTCCATGTTAATTATGTTGTAAATCTCAAGTTTTGTGTTTGCACGAGAGTGGCAATGTCCTCAGTGAAAAGGCCCCTCCAAAGTCTTTAAAAAATGTTTGGCATAACATAAATATTCAGCATAACTTACCTTAGGATTGCGATTTTGAACTCGTTGAAAAATAGGATGATTGTACAATCCAATAACAGTGATGTTGTACAAGGGTGAGGGTATTAATTATTTCAATAGACAACTAAAGGCGAGAAGCTTTTCATATTTGGGATCAAATTGCAGCAAATGCAAGCTGTTGGTTATTTTTAATATTTACTCTTATCTGATGTCATTTTATGCAATTTAAGTAGAATTTCTCATTTATATTTTAATATTTCTGTTTTTAAACCTGTTTAAATTTTTAACCATGTTTTTATAAACATGTTTCATGCAGTTAAAATAAATGGAATTAAAAACTTGCATTTTTATTATAATTGCATAATTGAAACAAATATGTTTTTTACATTTCATGAGCCAATATGGTAGAAAGTCCAAGATTCAGATGTTCAGTATCGAGAATGATTAAAATCTGGACCTCAAAGCCCCCGCCAACTTTTTTTTTTTTCAGGAATTTTTTTTTTTTTTTTAATGCTTTACACATGTGCATTTGATTCCCCATCCCATAATAAAACATGCATAGCCCTGATTCTTAATTTCACTTTGGCACTAAATAAAATATCTTGTTATTGAAGAAATCATTATAGCATAAATTTGTGGGATCAATAATTTGCCTTTGTAGCTGCATATCTGCTTGGCATACATCTCAAACCAAAACATTCTACATAAGAACATATGGATTTTACTCCTACTAATATTTTTTACCACTGATGTCAACCTAGCAAATCATTATTTATTGTATTGTGCTTTCATCACTGCATGTTTATCAACACATGACAACTTGAGTAATGACTCATCCAGCGATGCCTAAATAATTTTTATTAAAATATGAGTAATTGAATAACAAAGAGTATGGTAATCTTTTATGTTGAGATTATGACTTGTGATGATTACAGATTTAAGTTAAATGTGCTAAGAATTTTTTACAGATTTAAGTAAATGTGCTAATGTGATTACAGATTTAAGTTAAATGTGCTAAATTTTTCCTCGTCTTTTGACGAGGAAAAATTTAACAAAAATTTGAAAAACGTGAAAAAGCTTTCGCTTATACTGAAGCTGGTGAACTATTTGCATTCAATTAATTGAACTCATTAATAGTGAAAAGTTATCTCCAGAACAAATTTACGAGGCTGATGAAACTGGTATTTTCTGGCAATATGTACCACGAAAATATCTTGGCAACCTCTAGAGAAAATGCTTCAACTGGTGTCGAAGATTCCAAAGCGAGACTAACAATTTTAGCATGCGCAAATGCTACAGGAAGGCACAAGTATGCACTTTTTACAATCGGTAAAAATACCTGACCTCAAACGTTTAAAGGAGTAAAGATTTTCCCCATTATATATAGTGCAAATAAAAGAGCATAGATGACACATGCGTTAATAAATGATTGGCTTGAAAATCATTTCATACTTGAGGCACAGCAACACTTGAATTTGGTTCGTTTTACCTGTTGATGCAAAAATTGTCCTTCCTCCTTGTTAAAAAATTGTTCGGCTGATACTTCACTTAAAGTTTTAGTAAAGATAATGTATCTGTATTATTCTTTCCTCCAAATTGTACATCCATCATTGAGCCTATGTATATTGGAATAACGTGCATGCTGAAACGAAAATATAAAGTAGCATTTTTAAAATCCATTTAAATTTCTTGAATAATGGCAAGACCGTTCAAGACTTTCTGAAATATTTTAGCATGAAATCTGCTGTGTGGAGCATCATAAGATCATGCAAGGATGTGTCTCCAGATACTTTAAAAAATGCTTGGCATAACTTATGGCCAACTGCCATATTTCATGGTGAGGATGATAGCCATGAATTCGAAAGTTTTCAGTTATTGCAATTCAAGGGTGAAATTTTCTAATTAAAGGATTTTTGTAAAAAAATGTGGAGTAATGGTAATAAATGAAGATGCCATAACAGAAGTTTATCATTGTGATGACAATGCCCTAATCATCAGTCAGTTAACGATGGTGAATTCTGTAGTATGGTTCTAGATCCAGAAAATACCGCTATCAATAGTGAAGAAGTTGACAGAGAGGTTATTGAAAATGAAAAAATTTCAATTGACAAGTTAGTTGGAATTCTTGACACAGCAGTTACTGGGCTTGAATAATGGAATTTTGTAACTGAGCAAGAAATTATGTCTGTCTGTAGAATTAAAGAGAAACCATTAGCACAAAAAACGAAACAACCTAAACAACTTACATTGAAAGGAATGTTAAGCTCCTTTTTTTTTTCTTCTTTTTTTTGTAAATTTTGATACTCTTTGGATCATGAATGTTTTATTATTTCATAAATCACAATTTCATGTTTTTAATTTTATAATTTCTATGTGTCAACATATAATCTAATATTCAGAAAAATTCCAAATCCGTAATCGCCGAAGTTCCAGCGAATCCGGATCTTGGACTTTGTCTTGTATAATTGGAACAGCACATAGTATTAAGTCTGGGCTGTTAAATAATCAGATTTGTAAATACTTGTGTATGGAAAACTGTACATCTTATTTTTTATTTATTTTTTGCATTCTAGTTTGAATGATTTACACTCATGTCCATAAATTAAGGATAATTCGAAGTCACGCAGAAATCGAACTCTAAAATAAATATATCACCTGTAAAATCACTACACACATCTTCAAGAATCATATGCAAATTTCAGGAAGTAACCAGATGACACTGATGGTACGTCACAATGACGAGAATGTAAGAGAGTGATATATAAGGAATACAGGCAAAGAAGTAAAATTGTTCGCAGGCACTTTATAAGCATTTCAGTGCAATAACCGAATAGTTATGACACAAAGAATGCATTTTGATGATTTTTTACGTGGTAGAATTATCGGCCATCTGGAATGTGGGCGTACACAACTGGAAGTATCAGATGAACTTGGAATTGCCCAGAGTGTCATCTCCAGGCTTTGGCAATGATTCCAAGATGATGGTAATGTGAGTAGACGTTACAGCACAGGTCGCCCCAGAGTTACAACGCTGAATGAGGACCGGTATTTGGCAGTTACTGCCAAAAGAAACAGGTGGAGCACAGCCTCAGACCTGTTTTGTCAGCTCTCTTCAGCCACTGGTACGACAATTTCAAGGCAGACCGTGTACAGACGCTTAGGGCAGATTGGTCTATATGCTCGTAGACCTGTCAGATGCGTTCCACTTACTGCAACTCACTGTCGTCTGCGGTTAGCCTGGAGTAGAGAGCATGCATTGTGGACACCGCAACAGTGGGCTTGTGTGATGTTTTCCGACGAGTCCAGGTGTAGCTTGCAGTCTAATTCTCTCCGGACTTTCATATGAAGAGCTACATGTACCCATTACCACCAAGAAAACATCATTGAACGACACCGTTACGTGGTGCAGGAGTGCTCGTTTGGGGTGGAATTATTCTGGGTTCCAAAACCGACCTGCATGTTCAAATTGGAACCATGACAAGCCAAATCTATCGGGACGTCATTCTGGAACAACACGTACGTTTGTTTCGGGGCGCCATGGGTGCACAATTTGTGCTTATGGATGACAACGCCCGTCCTCATCGTGCAAACATCGTAAGCGAATGCCTTCAATCGGGTTATATCACCTATATGGACTGGCCAGCATTCTCACTGGACTTGAATCCAGTACAGCATGTGTGGGACATGCTTGGCCGACAAGTTGCAGCCAGTCAACCTCCTACTGCATGTCTGCCGGAACTTCGAAGAGCATTGCTTTTTGAGTGGTGTAATATCCCCCAAGATCAGATGGATAATTTGATACTCAGCATGTACGGACTGTATTGCATCGTCTGGGAGACATACAATGTATTAACAATCATACCAACCATGTAATATTGGTTTTTTGTAAAAGGTTTTTTTTTTTTGTAATTTGCTCCAGGGAGAAAAAAATCGCTAATTTTTTTAATAATATCAAACATATAGCATCTTTTTTTGCTCTTTACCTTTTGTTTAATAAATAAGCTTTACAAATAAGTCAAATTTGTTTTGCTTCTAACTCTTCCTTTGCCTGATTTTGCATTATCCTTAATTTATGGACATGAGTGTATTATATCACAGCAGTGATTTCTAGCTTTCAAAAAAAAGAAAAAAAAAATTGTGTGAAATGTGCTTTATATAATTGGCATAAGTTATCATAAGAAACATTCTTATTTATACATTTTACTCTTAATATCATTCTCATCATATTTTCCTCATTTCTTCAACTCTTTGTTTCAGCAGCTTTAATTATACTTTCCTTCTCTCTTATATTTTCTTTTCCTCGAATTTTGCGACTGCAAGTATTCACAATGATATGCATATTGGCTTTGTCATTATTGAAAAAATAAGTATAAATTTACCACCTGCTGTCATTTATAATAGATCAATTTCATAAATAAAATATAAACACTTGCCAAGGATATATTATGATGCATAATGATTGTTTTCTGTTCCATTTTGATTGTACATATAGATGAGAATTTTTATGAATATTTGCAGTCTTGACTTTTCGGGATGGGATGGCCATTATATTGGCCTTAATATTCTCTGTTTGAAAAAACGGGGATGTCCACTTTAGTGGCATGTCTTTTTCCCATGTTTTCCAAGCTGAAAGAGTGGAGTGAACTGTCAGGTTTGATGTCCCTAGAGTCTTAACCACATTGCTTTCAAAAGTATTTGTGTTAGGATCCGGTTTTCCCTATCATTCCCTTTTCATTCTTGCAACTTCAGAATTTGAAGATAACCTCATTCGTAGCCCATAAACAGAGCCTAGTATTTCTCTGAAATATTCTGCATCCAAGGGCGGTTTCTTGGAGTTATTTTGCTTAATCTTATAGCATGCTGTAACGGAAAAGAAGGCTGACTGAAGATTAAACACAAAAGCTTCTACAAGAGTTTGTGATTATAGATCCGGATTATAGATCATTCCTGATTATGGGTGTCCGAATGAACGACTTTTGACTGTATTACAAAAAGACCAAATATATGTTTCAGTTTGTAGAAGATTCACAGAACATACTATTATTGACTAAAAATAATTGGTACGAGAAATAAAATAGGTTGTTTATATGTTTTACACGCACACATATGCACAAAAAATGTGTAATAACGTGGGAATAGTGTCAATAAAATTGAATGCAGAATTCAGTGGAATCCAGAGTCAACTGCATATTGCAGCCAGATGTCACAGGTCTTTTCGACATGAAATATAAAACATGAGATTATGCTACAAGTGGCTTGAACAGTTGAAATAAAATTGTTATAAATAAAATTGTAATTTTGTTTAGTTTCTTAAGTTGGTTATTAAGATTTTGAATGAATAATTCAAAAGCAATAAAAATTGAATAACTTCAACAGCTTTGAGGTACTTTTAAGTGCAGATATATTTTCCCCAGATTAAAAATATCGCTTAGTTATAAAAATGTCATCTAATTCCAATAATATCTCAAAACCTCTCTGGGGAAATTATCTTGCATCTGTATTAGACTTGTTCGTGACCAGGCACAATGTACCGAAAGTTTGAGATCCACTGCTGCATTGGGTAATCTTATATTGCAGATAGCTTCAGATTTTTTGTGTTAAAAATTATTACTTAGTGTTAAACTACTTTGTGTTAAAATTTTACTATTATTACTTGTTGAAGTATTATTTTTTATATTTAAATAATCCTTAACATTGCCATCTGTCAGGGAGAATACAAGATACGAGTCTTTTTATTAACATGAAAAAATTCTAAATTTAGATATACTTTCATATTAGATGTTATGTTTCTAAATTTATCTAAGAAATTTGGACATAATTAAACAGAAAAATCCATATATGTTCTAATGTTCTTCCAGGTTAACAATGGTATCTGTAGTTTGTCTTTCCCCTGGGGTGGTCTTCACGACCTGAGGTGAGACGAGTGCCTCGTGTCCCAGTTCAGCCTCAGGGGTTTAAGAGAAAGTTCAAGTAATAGTTTGTGCTGTGGGATTGAGGCCATTGCGATGTAGCAAGATGGGTGGTTAAAATCACTTTTAGAGGGATACTGTGGACAATTTCCGGCCCTTCCTAATATAGAGGATGATCACGGGTTGCAACCTTTGCTGCATTTAGTTGCAGGAAAGGTTAACAAAACTTGATTGCTTGCCTAATGCGCACTTTGGTACAGTAAACTTTATGATATGGTGGTGTTACAATGCTTAGTACTCAAGATATATGTGTACCAGGATATAAAATTTTCAACTCAAATTATTTGTATTTGCAGTTCATTTCACATATTGATAATTTTGATGATCCTCTTTCAAGAGTAATAAAGTAATAGCCTGCTTGCTGGATATTTAAAAGACATTTTATTTTGAGTATTAATTTTTCAAAAATTATTTTATTGAAGGTATTAGACAAGTAATTCAAACTAACAAAATTTATTATTTCTTAACTGATTTTCAGGACATCATCTTTTGTTCAAACTAACAGAACTTCACTGTATATGCAGTATTAGCTCAATATAACAATTTCTGGTAATATGATTATATATTTATATGAAAAATCTAATGGTGCTAATTGTATTCAAAAGCACATAAAATATTCAAATTATACGTTAATTTATTTCTGTACAGTATTAAATATTGTAAGATACTCTGTATTTATGCATGATAAAATATTTCTGTATGATATGTATAAAATATTTAATATTTGTAATAAATATTTCTATATCATGAAACATATAGAATAGAATTAGTAATCAGTATTTTGTAACAAATGGTAACAGTATAGAAATTACACAGCTTACCCATTTAGGATATCAGTGTTGTCTCTAAAAGAATCCTCATTTCCACAATCTCTTAAACACCTGCTATTGTAAAGAAATACGGAAATTGAAAAATAAATGACCTAAGAGCATCAAGTGTAGGAGGGGGGGAAGGGGATTGTGACAGGATGAATAAACAACTCAAACTTGTCGTAGTTTTCTTACAGAATAATCCATTCTTTAGGCGAAGTATGCTTACAAGATTCAGCTGAATGTTTCACTGTTTTTGTAAAACAAAATAGAACTTTTATAGCTATACCAGTTTTGAAACTATATTATGACACACTTTACATTAATAGCCTATTTCAGGTGCTGTAGCATACAGAAGTAAGGCTATTGCTGATATGAGTACAAAAGGTGTCTCTGCACATAGGCAGTCACAGTCCATTTATGTGAAATGTTAACAATCAAGCTTTTACTTACAAAATGTTTTTATGATTAGTATTGATATAAATGTAAATTTTGATGATTTGCCTTTGAACACAAAAATAAAAATCACATCAAAATTTTAATAAAATTAACAATGGCAGCATTGTTGGTTTTGCGTCTGAGCAACCAACAACCCAAGAATGCCCCTAGATATTACTTATGTTACATTTTATGATTATTTCATTTAATGTTGTTAATATCTTTCTGTGTGCAATTCATCAGTTCATTTTTGCAGCTGTTATGTATGTTACATAAATATCATGCCATACATACATTGTGTATATAGCGTGATATTGTAGTTCAGAATCAGAAAACTATGAATAGAATTACACAAATTTCTGCAAGTACTTGATATTAGATATTCTCTGTATAGATTTAGAGCAATATTAGAAGAAATCCTCTTACCTGCATCAGCTAATATGAAGTAGTAATGATTTTTCTAGCTAAATGTTTTCATTCAGTTATTTCCTAAGCTTTTTTAAAATTCAAACTATAAATACCAGAACAAAAGGTAGGTAGGTACCTTAGCATATGCCTAATTCAGAGATGTTGACTGTGTGTCTTCCGATGTTTGAGCAACTCTATTGCTATTAACATCAGCTTGCAATTCTTGTAGAATGGATAGGTTCAATATAAAATTTATTTATTGTTAGCTGGACATCTGTACTCTCAAATACTTCATTTATTACTTCTTTAGTGGAAGTTGTGAATGAGATTGACCACTTGTCTTTAGGAATTCCTGTTATATCTCAAAAGCTTTATTTTAGTATGATACTTGGGGTTGATGTATCTGGTTGTAATGACACTTTTCCGCCAAAAAACGTTCTTAATAAAGTTATAAAAAAAGGCATGAAAGCAATATCTTTAGTGCAGGTAGGAATCACCACCCAAATCTACGATTTTCTGTCAATGGTTTGGTAGCTTTTTCAAAGGCTTCAGACCAGAAACTTGGTAGCCATGAATCCAGGAACAGATCAACCTCATTTCGGACGTCCTGTGTGGAATGGAAGGTGTAACTGCAGATGTGAAAAAAGAAGTCTGAAGGAGCGATGTCGGGGCTATATGGTGGATGTGGTAAAAATCCCATTTGAGTCCATAGAGAGTCCAGGTGGTGAATGCTGACATGTGGTCTTGATGGAATATTATCTTTTTGTGCCAGAACTCAGTTCGACATTTTTTCTTGATAGCATCATCAACACAGACTAGCATCTCGCTGTACAACTTACTGTTGAGGGTTTTATTTTTTCCAGATACTCTTTGTGGATAATACCACGACAGTCCCATCATATAACAAAGCATGCTCTTTTTGTTAGTCAAATTGTGCTTTCTGATGCTGCTGACAGGCTCATCGGGCACAGACCAACCCCCATTTCGGCCTGTGCTGTTGAAGTAAATCCACTTATCACAAGTTATGATTCGGTCCAGAATTTTGTCCTTGCATTGATATTCAAGCAGATTAGTGCAGTCCGGAACACGTCTGTCTTTATCTGCTCGAGTCAGCTCTGCAGCACCTAGCAACTGAACTTGTACATCCAGTTCCTACGATGCTTAGTGCGACTAATGGGCATGGCACTAACGTCTAACTCCTTAGCAAGCTAACGAGTGGTTGCATACTGATTTTCTTCCACAAGATCTCTCAAACGAGCCTCATGAACATCAGTAGGCCAGCCAGAGTGCTCTGCTTCTTGAGTGTCATAGTCCTTTTCCTTAAACTTTTGGTGCCAAACCTTCACAGTGCCATATGATACAAGTACCTAAAGCTGTAGACATGATTTGCTGACATTCTGTAGCTGAGTTTTTGCAACAGAACTGGAAATAAATAATGGTTCTAATCTGGTAGCATGATAGTTCCATTTCAGACACCTTGTATTTAAAGATAATATTTTTTTTGCAAATTTCACAACACTGTGTTCTAAAGCAAGTCTCTTTCTTTCAAATGCCGAAAATCATTTGACAAATCATAATTAAACACGCCAATGCAAATTGGTTGCACATATGATAAATATTTGGTAATCTGGGATAAAGTAATCCCAGATTACCAAATATTTATTTGAGGGACAATTTTATTCTGTGCCAGCCTTACACTAGTCACATTTAAATAGTTGCTTAACAGCTTCCAATAACAAGATGTATACTTTCAGTAGTGAATAAAGCGTACAAATTTCACTTTTTGTGAGAGCCTTATTCGTTTTCTGATTTATTTTGAAATGTCAACAATGCAATTTACAGCTTTCAAGATAAACTTTACTAAATGAGTTAAGAGTACTAAAAAAAAGTGATTATGAACTTTTCATTTGTTGCCACAAATCTTCTAACCACACAATATTTTGAGTAATGCTTCAGATAAACTATGGGAATCTTGACCAGTATGATTTGTTAAGTGCATTTTAATAGAATACAAAAGCTAGATTATTTTACAGAATTGTGAATAATCATTGTTGCTGGATTTAGGAATAATTTTTATAATATTAGCAAAGTGAGGGCTTTAGTTTTATTCAAATCATGTAGCACTCCTGCTTCAACTGAACTTAGATCCCCTGTGAATTAACATTTAGAAAAAAAGCTAATGAATTGGTATCTGTATAAAATTTCTTCTGGAGTAATAACAAGAAAAGCGATTTTTTAAAAGAGACAAAATAGTTACCATAGAAATGCAAGATCATTCAATAAAAGTAGGAGATAAGGTGTATAAATGAGAAAGGTTATATAGAAAATGGGGCCATGGAAAAAATTTCTTACTGAATGATGAGAATGGATGCTTTATTTAAAGGACTCTGAGCTATATTTTAAAAGGAAGGATTTCAGGCTGGGAAATATTTATCAAAATAAAAGAAGTATAAATCGAATATGTTAAAGAGAATAAAAAAAGTAGGAATACCACAAGTTTAGAGGTTCTGGAAGATGAGAGTTCTGTCTTCAAATGCCTTAGAAAGAGATGTGTCACCAAATTCTAGAGATGGATATGATTTTTATTCATTGGTAGGACTATTAGAAAACCTTAAACATGCATGTGCAAAATTTAAATTTAGACAAAAGTATGATTTTATGTTGGCATAAATCTTGAACAAAATAAACAAATATTGATGATAACTCACAGTTTTGGTTATAGACTGAGATCAAGAGGTGCAAAAATTGGCAATTTTCAGCTAAAGGTGTTATAATTCATACTTAATTACATTTTTTTGATAGTGTAACAAAATGATACTTTGAATTTGTGCATAATTTTCGAATCACAGAAGATATGGAATTATATTTAACATGCATAAATCTGGGAATGAAATTTTTTCATTTGTATTTAAGCAAAAAATAGACCTATTTTCAAGATTATTCAGGTGTAAGTGATAAAAATGGTTGAACAAAACAAATGGAAAAATAAAGAGTGGCAGACAGCAAAAGCCTGAAGCAGTCAGGAAATAAGCAAATGCTAAAGGCTCGAAGAATGCTAAAGCCACCGAAAAAGGCTCAAAGAAGAGTTACAATAACTATGAAACAAAGCACGGAAAATAGCCATGCTATGGAATATTAATCATTTCAAAAAAGTTTTTTTCAAAATCTCTCATTATAAGGTTGCCATTTTACGTAACTGTTATTAATGCAGTCATTTAATTTATGGGGATTATTTCACATACGTTAACTGGAAATAAAATGTCATATATGTTACTCTAGTATGGAATAGTAGCGAATATTGTTGAATAAATGTTACATTTTGAATTTTATTACACTAGAGACTTTCTGAAAAGACTTCTTATATTATAAAGATAGTGGGAGTAAATGATGTGCTTAAATGTTTTCAAAATTTGTAGGTGAGAAGTGTATGAAAGTGAATTAATTATAATAAAACACACAAAAATATTGTCCTGTTTTACTGTGCTATACCATATTGGAATTATAATAATATGATTGTTTTCTGGTATTTTTTTAAACTTTGTGTTATGGAGTGTTCGTATGAAAAATGTTATTTACAACTGTCTGCTTATTGGTCCCTGTGCAGAATATTTGTGTGGAGCTGTTTTGGCAAATACATTCAATAGAATATTTATTTATTCAGTGAGAGAATGGAAGATATAGAACTCTGGATGAATAGGCCTGGGAGTTTGATCTATCGATTGCTTGAATGAAGAAAATTTACCGTAAGGATTTATTCCAAAATATTTAGCTGATTTTTCTACATAATTAATATATAATTGCATTATGAACAATTATTTAGTGGTCTACATACATGCGACAATGCTGAGCAAAGCATTTTGTTGTGTAAGCAAGCATCACTTCTTATTCATTGATTTATCAATGTAATAAAGTATAAAATTGTGCTATATTGAACTACATAGTGATTAATTTCTTAAGTGAATATTTCTGAAAGGGAAGTATACTAATTTTCAGGCTATAAATTATTTTTGAATTTTGCAAGTTGAAGTCATGTTTATTTCTTTATTGCATTCTCTGTTAACTGTTCATAATATGGATGAGTTAGAAATGATGCTTGCTTTTATTTTTTATATATTTGCTTGGAAAGTAAAAATGTTGTTGATGTTCAAATTCCACAGGATGGAGGAGATTCAGCTGATGAAGACATTCTTCTTGATGGTCTAATTCATCTGCCATCTCACAGGCCTCATACCCATGTAGTTTACTGAAACAGGCAAGAGAAGAAGAAATTTTTTTTTTTTTTTTTTTTTGTAAAAAAAGATAAAAGGTTAAAAAGATGCTTACTTAAATTTTATATTCAGAAATTCTTTTAACCCCTTAACTGCCGCGGGCGTATGTATACGCCTTGCTCAGCCGATGCGTTAACTGCCCCAGGCGTATATATACGTCCTTCCAAACTGCTATCATTTGCTTTGCGCTGCTACACCTAAAATTATTCGCAAAGTTAACGCATCGGCTGCGCATCTGGGGGGCAGTTAACGCATCGGCTGAGCAAGGCGTATATATATACGCCCGCGGCAGTTAAGGGGTTAAATAACAAGTTTTCAGAGTTTTGCTTTTTGTTAAAATTTTAAGGCAGTGTATTTAAACTAGTTTTTATAATTTTTCAGCTGTTAAACTGATAATAGTATCTATTTTTCCTTATGTGTTGATATTTGCAAGTTACTAGGCATACTGATGAAGATTATTCTACTAACCAAAAGTTAGATACAGTGAAGTTTTTAATTTACACAAATAGAATTAAGATACAGTGAATTTTTAGTTTACACAAATGTAGATAACATACTAATCTTTAAAATGAAACAGTTTTAATCACATGATTTGTAGAATCATTTTAATACTGTTTAAAATTACGAATTTATTACTAAATTTCATTCATTGAAACTTAGGAAAATGTACCTTGCTGTTATCTATATCTTCATGTAAACATACAAGATGTATTTCCTAATTAAAGTCTCTATACACACTTTTTTGTCAGTGCGGTAAATGTTTAATATTTTATTTGGCTGCACATGTTTTTATTTCCTTAAATAAAAATCTTCCATGAAGGCTTTCCTCTCATTAGACAAATACCCCTAATGTGCTTGGTATAATCTAATAAATAAATAGTTATGTCATTTCTTCAAACTGAAGAACAGTACACAGTACCACAAGACTCGTTTTATTGTTTTTTCCAGAGGCTGATTGAGAACATATCTACAATTATTATTGGTGTATACTGCATCATAGTTGTAATCCTTCCAGGAAATTTTCTTTTCTGCATGTTTTCTGTTGGAAGCTGCTGTTTTTAAGTGCATTCCCACAGCTGCTGGAAAGAATGCTGTATTTAAATTAAATCTTGCCTGTTTTATGGCTTCACAGTTAGTATGATATATAGTCACATGAGCTGCAACTGTAATTAGCTGTTACATATTCAGTGCCATCTTCACTAATGATGTAAGGTTGGCCATGTGAGTCGAAGAAATGAAAGGAATATTTCAATATACTCAAGTTCAATATACTATTCATCATCTCTCTGTGCTATGTATATTAGCACACTGTATTAATTTCAAGTGTAGTCATATTTCTGATCAATATTGTGTATACACTTAGTAGGTTAACATAGTTGAATGTTAGTTTTTGTTTATAATTTGTATGAATTTCCACATGTTTTATGGAATTTAACTACTGGTTTCTGTATTGAAGAAAATGCCAGTTTTAAAATATTACTTTGTAGGTGAATGCAGTATGCCAAAAGTTATGTTAACTTCAGATCATAAATAGTATATCCTTATACTATGAAAAGCAAGAGTAAGTTAAATAATTCAAGAACAGTTAAAAGTATTTAATTTGTTTTGACATATTTATAGACATAGAATTATTTTGAATTACTTTTATAGAGAACTTTATATTAACTATAGCTGTATATAAAAGAAAATGAAGATAAACTGTATATAAAAATTTTGTATTTTTTAATTGTTCTTTTACAGTATTTTTAACATATTCAAACAATTTATAAATGAACTAATAAAACACTAGAGGAAACAGCCCGTCAACATCTAGACTGCTGTCTAATGGAATTCATGTAGCAAAAAACTTAAATCTGATGAAAAAATATTTTTATTGACATTATGTTTGCTGTTAATATCTGGAATCCATATTAAAATTTTCTTTTTACTAACATAGATGTTGAGTAATTCTTGGCAAATTTCTTTTGTACACTTTTCACCTTCAGTATACCGTATACCTTCATTTCTCAATGGCCATATGTCTTCTAAGTGTTTTAATTATTTTGCTTTTTAATCATGTTGTTCTCATTCCTTAGAAAGGTTTCTGTAGTTGAATATTTATTAGTGAATAAACTCTGTTAGTGCATTAAACTGCATAGCTGCCATTTCTCTTGGTTTTTCATCATATCTTCCTGTTTTTAATTTTTAGACTTATTAAGGAAAATGTTTCCCAGTAATAAATGAAATTTATTCAATTAGTGAAATTTAAATTAGGCAGATTTCATTCTCTCATTTCTAGTGATTTTCAGAATAATTTTTCATAATAAATTTTATTTCATCTGAATTGTTCTTTTATTACATTTTAGTGAACTTTTTTAAATTTCATTTAATCTGAATTAACTTAATTTACTGATTCTTCAATTAAAAGTGTAAGAAAATTTTTACATTAAGTAAGCCAAAAACATAAAATTTAGAATACTTAATTAAATACTAATATATTTTACATCAGAATTGTTTTACAAATAGTTGAAAAACATAAATCATCCATTATAACTGAGTTAAAGTCAGTTTGGATTTCTTTTGAAATTGTGCTACCATGCAACATGAAATCCTCCCGGTTTAGAGTTTCTCCTGAATTTCTTGCAAAAATCTGAGTGTTTAAGATTCCAAGGTTGGCAGGTAGTAAACTAAAAAAAGTAAACCAGTGTGAGGGCATTAGTAGAAATGATCTTTTATTAGATGCACTAGAAGCTGCCTTCTTGGTTAAAGATGAGTGGTATATTAGAAGGTAAATTATAGTTATTAAAATGTAAATATAATGTGCTTTTGTGGAGGACTAAATTTTTAACAAGGTGGGTGAAAACACAACATGCAAAATGGTGCCAAACTGCACTATCTCCTACTAGCAGAGGCATTAATATTTGAAAAAAGATGTTCAATAGAAATTGACTTGGGTTTTTAATTGCTTGTTTGATTTCTACGACCTTGACAAAATAAGTTAGCTATGCAATTATGCAATTTTATATCACTTTCATTATTATTTATTGAGAACTTATGGTTGTTATTAAGTGTGCTGCTATTTAGAGGCATATGTTTTGGTTTTGCATCACTTTACATTTTTCTGTTTCCATATTTTCATTCAAAGTTTAATATTCCATTCAGCTATGACATATTTTAATACATTAGAAATGTATTATATCATTCAATTAAATGTGTTGATTGTCATGAAATACATTCATTGATTACATTTTCTGATGGTATCTTATACTTTGATTGTGTATGTGTGCATTTGTTCCACAATTTTATTTCTTTATTTTAAGGTTAATGTTGCTATGCACTGGGCAGTATTAAACTACTGGGACCTTGATAGTTTTAAGAAATAAAACTTCTTTATTTTGGCAATATTATTGCTTTTCTTCATGGTCTCGTCAAAACATTTTGCTTTCGGTCATCATCTATAAAAAAAATGACTGCTCTGAATAAATGTGAAATAGAATTTAGGGTTATCATCTTCAAAGGAAATAATAAGTAGAAACCTAAGAGGGAAGCATGTTATAAACTTGCATATATGAGGATGTATAAAATTAATGTCAAGGAATGGACATGAATAAAGAATGAAATTTTGTAAATGCAGCATTTATGCTTTTAAACTAAAAATGCTTTCTTAGTGCAATTGTATGTGAAATTACTGTATTTTCCTCTATAACATAACATGAAAATCTAGAGGCAGGATGCTTAGATAGAGAAATAAGATTACAGGAGCAAGTCTGTTTAACAGAGTAAATGGCTATCTATCACTCAGATGGTATAGTGGTTAGGGGATCTTACTATAGTACCAAAGAGCCTGGGTTCGAATTCTGGAGAAGACATGGATGCTTGTAAATGTATAGTGTCGTGTGGCATGGCGATACTCTAAATATATGGCGAGTTGAAAGTCCGCTTGGGTGGATTGGTGGAAGGGGAGAGGGGTAGGAGACCCCGGATTCTCCTGGGGGGGTGCTGTCCCTCAAAATTGAGATGGAAAATAGAAGTTCAACCTCTCTTTGAAGTAGGCTTTGGCAACCGTTGTTCCATGTAATATGGACAAGATGGCAGCAACAACAACAACAAATAGCTGTCTCGCTAATTTATATCACCAAGCTGGCAACAGTTTTAGTGACTAATATTTGTCACCAAATTTAGCAGAAAGTCGCCAAACTTCCTGACATTTTTGTCTGGTCCCTGTATCGCCGTAATTGGTGTTGTAATTGAATAACTGTAATTGATTTCATATGTAGCTGCAACCGTAATTTGGCTCTCATATGCCTTCCAGTAATTTCAAGGAACAGAAAGTACTAGAAATAAGTCAGCAGTTGGGTGAAAACTATATAAAGTTGAACAGAGCATCTGCCCTCAGTTATTGTGAGCTGTTAGTTTAGAGTATTGAAAGCTTTGCCTTTTAGATGTGCTTTGCTTGCATTGTGTTTAACATTCTTAGTAGTTTGAAGTGTAACTGCTCATTGTACTTTCTGATATTGTGAAGAGTTGTATGACTACTTTTGTGAAATGTTCGAGAACTCCTAAGTGTTTCTTTTGATAAAATAAATTTTATCAACCTATCATCAGAGCTGTGTGCATTTAATCTATTACAAACCATATGCATGTAATACTATACAGCTCAAAATCTTAGATCCCAACACATCGAGGCTTCAGCGATTCTGGATTTGGGATTTCCCCTGGTTTAAATATTGCTATGTGATTATCAGTTTTAATCCAATAAGATGATATGTAGAAATTATGAAATTAAAAATATGAAATAGTGATTTGTGTAATAATGAAGTGTATATGACCTTAAAAGAATTAAGTTGTTTAATTTGCTTTAGTTTTTGTGCTAATACATTCCCTGTAATTCTATAGATAGACATTTTTATTTGGTTTCAAAGTTTCATTGTTCAAAGCAGGTAATTGCTAGATCAAGAACTCCCATTAAATTGTCATTCTCAAAAAACCTCTGTCTTATTTTTTTCTGGTTCTCTGGATTTAGAACCATGCTGCAGATTTTGCTGTCTGTTATTTGACTGATAATTGGGCATTGTCATCGCAATGAAAAACTTCTTGTTATATCATCTTCATTTAGTACCACTTCTCCACATTTCTTCAAAAATTCCATTATTTGAATAATTTCACTTTTTACTTGCAATATCGACACACCTCCAGATTGCAGTCTTAGTGTCTGCTGTATTCTGTTGGCAATGTATCATGAGATTGGTGACATAGACATGTTGTTTTGCAAAATTTTGTCTTGCTTCTATTGCATGCTGATGAAGTTAAGCCTGAATTATAATAGTTATTTATTATACTTATGCATATTTTCTGCGCATGCTTAAGGCTTAGCTGTGTCTTTAATAAATTAATTCCCGATGTACTTAAGGCATATCAAAAGCTGGTGCTAAACATTTTTTGGTCTGGTGAAATCTCTGCTGGTCTAAAATTTTGCTGCAAAGAGCCTCCTTAAATTAAAAAAATTTTGCTGCCCCTAAATTCTGTATCCTAGTAACTTCCCTAAATTCTAAAGATTTTGCCATCCCATAATTTCATTGCTCAGTGCTTCTTTGAATTGTAAAATTTTGGCCTCTCCTTAATTCTGCTTCCAGTACAGCCATATCAGCTCTGCCATTGGTCCTGGGCTTATCTGAAATGCAAATAAATTATTCTTAATTAAAACAACACTAAATGTAATTTTTTAGCCTATGAATATCATTAATGTTCAAATTGAAAGAAATTTTTGTTAGATTTCTCTTTGTCAACATACTTAGAATTTTGCAGTACAGTTCTTTGAAGTCTGTAATTGTCAAGCATTATAAAACATTGCCATGCTCTTGGGTATTCAGTTACTAATATTACAAAAAAATGTTCAGACATTGCTGTGTGAGTTATTTCTCAAGCAGCAATGTGTTTGTTGATAGTCTAATTAATGATGATGTGCCCAAGTTGTCGTCAGTGTGGAAGTAAAATTAAGAATCAAGACTTTCCACATGTTTTATAATAGAAAAATATAATGCGCAAACATAAAGCATAAAAAAAATGGTTGCTGATGATCCAAAAGTCTGGATTTTAGACCATTCCAGATATTGGATGCACAGATTATGGACTTTGTATTACATCTGACTTTACTTCATAACAGCAAAAAATTTAGCTATTAATATTCTACCAAAACAGTTGAAGATTTTCAGATTATCGCATAGAGAAGGATAAAATATTTTGGTTGTCAATATACAAAATAAATCAAAATTAAAAAATGATGAAAAGGAAATTATTTTTATATTGGCATAATTCTGAAAAGTTATGTTAGTATAAAACTAATTTTGGAAATCACGAATCTAACTGTAGAAACCGCAACAAGTGAGATATAGTAAAAAAAATATCAAATCAGTAATCTGTTTTACACCAGTTACTTTTGTCAGGACTGTTGTTTCAGAACAATAAAAATGTATGCAGTCTCATGATAGTTTCCTCTACTGTTTTTACTGTCACATTTTTATAATCTTAATGCAATTCTTCTTCATCATGTTTGTCTGATAGCGATGTTATATTTGCACAGTTCTGGCATCTTTTAAAGCCCCACATGTTGCAATTAAAATGTTCACTACCAAAAAATAAAATTTCAGGATTCTAAGAGAATTGATTTTCATGAGAGACAGGAATGAAAAATTGCTGCTCATATCAGATAAGTCATCATTGTATTGGAGACAAAAAGTCATAAAAAATTCTCCATACAAAGAATAGTTGCAGTTTTTTGATATCTTAGCTTTTAGAGTACACAAAAAGAGAAAGAATTTTCCCCACTAGTGTAGAGCCTGGAAACTGGATGGATAAGCCCTCACACCTCTGTAGGCTATTTAATATTTTCAAATATGTTAGAGATACAAGGGCTTATTCATTGCTGTGACATAATATGAATATTCGAGATAGCAAAGGTCTCAACAAAAATGTTTGAGGTAGCTGTGGGAAAATACATTGAAGAGACAAAAAATAATTTTGAGATATTAAGGTTCAGTTGTATTTATAATGATGTGGCTGTAAGTATTATTTTTAGGAATTTGTTTTCTTTTGAGTAAGGAGCTTGGTGTTACTGCATATTAAATTTATTGATTATAATCATGTTTTCTTCTTTTATAGATTTACTACTGTGTTTAGAAGCAGTTGAACTTTAAGCACATAAGGCTTGTGTCTGTCATGGGAGACATTTTGGTATTATATTTATCATCCTTTATGTTCTCATTCAGTTGTTCATTTTATTGTACTGTGCCACTTTTCTGTAAATTTGAAACATTTTCTATTAAACATTATTAAGAAAAGTTTTCCTGTCATTTAGATTTCTTTTTTCTTTTAATTAAAATTACAGACTTTTACTGAACATTTAACTAAAATATAAGCTTTTCATTTATAACTGTAAGCTGTGTCCATCAATGAGTATGTCACATGCCTTAAACTGCATATGAACATAATAGAAAATTGATTTTTTTTATTTCTGGAGTGTTACTACAGGAACATTTTCAGTTTTTCTAATTTCTTTTTTAAGAATAATACATGCTGAGTGAGAACAGAACTTTGAATTCACTAATGGGCAATGAAATTTTAACGTAATTATGATCAATTTGCAATACAGCACAAAGTCTGTAATCCGAAATGATCTATAATCCGGATCTCAAAGCTACAAACTTTATGCGCATGCGTAAATGCATTATGCGTTTAATGTATAATGGATGATATAAGCTAGGCTAAAATTATCTAATTATCTATTTCAGTTAATGTTGCAGATTGCATTGTTCCTTAATCTCATAATTGGATCCAGTTTATTATTTTTTGCAGACTGTTAGAGCAATTTTATAAAAATTAAGCTTGAACTTTCGATTATGTCAAAAAGAGTTTCTAAATATGGAGCTGCCCAAGGATCTACAAAGCGAAAGCATGTCTCGATGTCTATTAAACGAAAAGTGGAATTACTGCAAAAAATGGATAAAGGCCTATCCGTCTTAAAAGTATGCAAGAAGTATGGCATTGGAAAGTCCACTATATATGGTACAAGAAAAAGAAACTTTTTGATTTTTTTGTGGAAGCATCTTAAACAACTTACATTGTAAGAAATGTTTAATAAAGTAAACAAATAAATATTAAGCATTTTTTCGTAAATTTTGATACCCTTTAGATCATAATTGTTCTTTATTTCATAAATTACGATTTCATATTTTTAATTGTATCAATTCTGCATGCCATCTTACCAGATTTAAATTGATGATCTATAATCCAGAATCGTGGAAGTCCCGACGAGTCCGGATTAAAGACTTTTGACTGTATTTCAAATAATATTGCAGTTCATTTTAAACAATGCAGTATTTTCTATTCAAATATATTCTGAAAATTATGAATCAAATATGCCAAAAATTATTTTAGTTTATTCATATAAAACTGTTTTTTAACCCGTTCATGACCATCTTGTTGACGCGACACATTGATTCCACTCTTACCAGCCCAGCGTCGCTTTTACGTGAGTAGCTCAGATCAGTCTTTTCAGCCCAGCAATGCATATGCGTAATTTGAAAACAGAACGATTTATTTGAATTTTTAAATGCCAGTAGGTGGCACTAAAAGGTAATGATTTTCACACCGGTTGAGTCAAATGGCTTTTGACCTTTATGTGTGGGCGTCTGTTTCTGTTCTATGCTTCTGGGTTTGGTAGATTTTTTGGCGCAAGCAAATTGGGAATCGCAGCTCTTGAAGTTAAAGCAACATCCATATCTTTTGTTTATTTCGATAAAAATTTCCTTTTTTTTTGTTCTCATTTTTGTTCTTTGCTTTTTTTCATTATTAGAATGTGGAGAAGTGCATCCAACTCAATGTTTTCATTTATGTTAGATGTTTTTTGTTAGAAGAATGTGGGAAAACACATCTAGCTGACTGTAGGAGGTGTAATGTTGCCAAACTTCTGTGATGGATAAACTCAGACCAGTTCTCCTTTATTTATATTTATTTTGAAACTTAACATAGGCTGTCTTAGTTAATTTAAAAGCAGTATTGCAGCATTATTAAAGAAAGGGAAAGACATCAGCTTTCCTGATGCATGAAGCATCTTACCTGTTTGGCACTTCTCAGAAAAATGCTGCCTTTGTCCTGTGTGTCAAACCTCATTTTGAATTATTCCACATACAGCAGAATTTTTAAATTGGAATTTACTATGATTTTGGGTAGATAAGCTGCTTTGGCGTATGCGCCGCACACAGTATAACTGACTAAAAAAAAGCTAAAAAAAAGGAAAGTTCATTGGATAAGCCACACTGCTGTATACACCGCGGCAAAGCATTCCGAAACATGGCACTTAATATTCATGTATTCAGTAATTCCCTGCCATATTGATGTAATCATCATCGATAACATTTACAACATAAATATAATCAGTAATAGATAAATAAATAAGGAAGAAAGAAACATTTACCTTGTACTTGCCGAAAACAGATTCTAATAGATATTTGATGATTTCTTTGATGATTTCTAATAGACATTTTTACGGGTTCGGTAAACTTTGTTTATTACCATAAATTACCATATTATGAAAAAGAATATGTAAATTAGACAAACAAACAGAATTTTATAATTAAACTACATTTATTTACAAAACCTTCAAAATCTAACTCGTCGATGTCAGAATTAAATAAATTTAACAAATGACCATCAAGGTCAATTTCATCATTCTGTTCTAAATCACTTCTTTCAATGTCACTGTCTTCCCTTTCATTTTCTTTTTCGATGATTTCCGATTTAATGAAAGCTGATATGATCATATCAGCTTGGACTGATTGCCACGCTTTATCAACCCTTAAGGCAGCCTCCTCATATGAAGCTTTTCTAATTCATCCGGAATTTGTGAAGGAATGGAATACGTTTTACATCCATTTCTCTCACTGCTTTCGTAGTTCATGCTTGAAAATTCTATTAATAGTGAGATCTAGCAGATGTAAATTTTTGCAAGCACACATGGTATCACTGAGACATCCTTGCTAAGTTTTTTTGCTTCCAATTTTACCGCATCCACTAAATGGGATCACATTGAAACCAGAAGAATGAGTCCTCAAAGTTGGAAAAAAGCATATTTCCTTTTTCGATAAATTTCTGTCAGCTAAAACAACATCACTTCTTCGCACATCCATCCATTTTCGTTGGCACAAATAATTTCTTTAGGGAAGTCTCCTTTCAGGATTGTTTTCCTTTTGAAAATTATCAAAGGGATTAACTTCTTTCCATTGGTGACACAACTCAAAGCACAAGTAAAAGAAGTCTTTTCATTCCCGGTTGCTAACACTGAAATAGTTTTTTCACCAATGAACAGTTCTGCTCAGAGAATAGTCAAAAGTAATGCATTCATATTAATTATTTGCCCTCTTTTCAAATTTTGTTCTTTAATTTTCTTAGATGTGTACTCCGAAAAAGCTATCATTTTTCCAAGCCAGTCCACGGGAATCTTTTGTCTAACTGTTGTTTTGGTACTAATAGATAATTTCTTTCGCTTCATGAATCTGAAACACTAATTATGTCCTCCAACAAAATTTTTAATGGCCATTTGTCGAGCAATTACCTTTGCTTGAAGGCAAGTTCTAACTGTTCGTACTGATAATCCTTTTTCTCTCTGTTGTATTGTCCATTTCTCTAAATTGTCTTCGAAAACAGAGCAGGCTATGACACCAGTTCAGCGCGATTTTTTATTCTTGGGCATTTTTTCTACTTCTTCTTCTTCGGACTTCCACCGCCGAATGCATCACTCGTCAACTTGAAATTCTTTAGCCGCGGTGAGATTTCCAATTTCGATCATTTACTGCACTGCCAAAAGCAGCTGCATAACTTTTTCTTTGAGTAGGTGTCATAATAATAATACTATTTTTAAAGCGCGAATGATAAGGCAAGCAAAAAGCAACCTATAAAGCAGTAAAAATGTGTAAGAATGAACACAGGACTTGGCAAGTAAACGTAGCTGTTTCCATAACAAAATGTCATAGGAAAAAGGGCAAAACCATTGAGTATAGCAAAAAGTACATGCATTACGTGTCTTTACAGAGAGCACCACCTACCTTAGTTGGACGAGTTTGAACTTATTGCACCGCCTTAGCGCAATCTGAGGTTAGAATATTGCAGCAAATTTTTACCGTTTCGCTTGTGCATCACTTAAGATCTGAACTAACAAAGTTTTAAAGACAGAGGAAGTATAAAATTCCCTCAGATGATTTTGATGTAAGAATATTGATTATGTATTCAAGCTACAAGTTACATTTTATTTTTAATTTGGATTTTCACTGGTCACGTTTCTGTGAATTCTAAAAATTGCTGGAATTAAAGATGGCAATTCAGCTGCAAAATGACATGTGTAATGAAATATCTTTCCATAGTATCATACTTTTAGGAATCGGAGGATCATCTCTAAAGTTTATGGTATGGGGGGAAAACATCTACATTTTAAACTCATTTCCTAAAAATTAAACCCAGAATAAAAGTGCTAATGCTAATTCATACACATTGGAGTACTAATAGTCTATAGCAATGTTTGGTGTTGAAATAGAAATATTTTGAATAAATGTGCTCTTCACTATCTAAAGCATTCCCTGATTTGAATGTTACTTTATCAGTCTGTGCATCGTCAATATTTTAAATTGCTTTTTTATTAAGCTCATGTTAGTTTTATTTAATGGGTACTGGGAGTTTTTTTTATTTAGGCTTTATATTTTCATCTGCAAAAGAATATTATGTAAGCAATTAATATGCAGTCTTAGTAGAGATGATAGATTTTTTTTTCATTAAGTAGCAATTTTGAGTAATTGAGTTATATGAAAACTGATATGAATCATCACGATAAAACTGTTCAAAATTCTTTGCAGTATTTGGTTATAAAGAATGCAGGTGTGTAAGTGGTACTTTGTGTTTTCTTTCATTGAGGTAAAATTGTTCCCTTGTTCAGTTTCTAATCATTTAAAAACATTTTGTTTGAAAGGGAATTTGCATTTAAGAGATCACGGAAACTGTATATTTTACTTCTGGATACCCAGAGAAGTTTCTTTTATAAGGTAGGGAAAGTGTTTCCTTACAAAATCTAGCCATGGAGGATAAAGTCTAGGATTGGAGAATTGTTTAACAAAAAGCAGTTGTGCTGTAAAATGATTTCAACACATGCTGTCAAGGGAATTATACCATGGCAAGAGACAGTACATTGACGCTTTAATGACATAAGCCACACTTTGAGTAATTGTGGGGATTTAGCGTTTTCTGAATGATCTAAATAAGCAAAGCTGCCAGAGTTTGGAGTGGGATGCTGCTTAAACTGCCTTTCTTTAAACCACAAAAGTATAGTTTGTGAGGCAGAGACAATCACTTAGTGTGTTCTAATTGTCAAGGCTCTTACATAGCTAGTTATAGTAGTTATTCTAAATTTCTGCTCAGTTATAAAAACTTAATTAGTGGAAAAATCATCCCAGGTATAGAAGCAGTTACCCATGCAGTAAGTTCAAGTAGTTAATACTAACAAATTGAATGAATTTTCTACTGCAGGCCCTAACTAGGAAGTCAGTGGCTTTATTCAATATGTGAAGTAATAAAAATTGTTAAAGAAATTAAAAGCATGTTTAATGGCATGAATTTATTTGATGTTATCAAAACAGTTGCTGGATGAATGTTTGAATTTTGCAGAAAATTCAATAGATGACTTGTTTGTTCTATTTTCGAAGATGTATTTTACTTATGTAACACTATTAATAACTGCCAGTAATCTTTATCATTCTCTTAGCACTATAGCATAAAATGCAAATGGTTTATGTTATAAGCTTAACGGATGAAAGACTTTAAAAGTGAGTTGCTTGTTTTTTTTAACGGAATATTTTTTAATACTCCATAGAAAGGTTTAAAACTTATATATGGTCTTTTCATAGCAACAAGAATTATTTATATGTTTTGAAAAAAAGCAATATTAATTGAATTCCATTTTAGTTTACTGGAAATGTTACTTTCTCTCTTCATAAATTGGTTTACTATTTTTAAAACAAATAAAATATCTGATTGCTGCTTTTAAATATTTTAGGTCCTAACATAAGGCTGGTACTGATACGAAGTATGACTGCACGTGGCATAAAGAATACATATTCATTTGTTTTGGGTAGCAATATGTCTGGCAGTATGGCCGTTGGCAACTTTCGCTTAAATGTAAGAGAGAATGTTTGACTCCACATTGGCATCTAGTTGTATTAATACTATCTTCATCTCTAAACTGGAAACATGTATTTGCACAATAAATTCCATTTCAAAATCAGGTGTGTATAGCATAATTTCTTTGGTTAACTTTTTTAATAGCTTGAACGCATCTTCATATTCTTTACTCTAATGATCCTCCCGTTTTCAACGTTATGTCCGATTTCAGGCTTTCTGGAGGTGGAACAAATATAGTGTTATTTCGGGCTTCCTCCGGTGGTGTTTTCGGATAACAATTTCAAAAATCGTGCCATTTCACCTTTTCTATTTTTAACCTTTTATTATAATTGGTAGGGATATAATTAAGGGGGAGAGTAAGTGTTAAGTAGCTATACTAAATGTGTTATGATTTCATTTGGGACTGTATTCGGGATTAAGTATACACCGAGTGGCCACTTTTATGACCACATGACAGTTTTAAGCAAATTAGTTATGGCGTCACATTGTTGCCGCGAGAAGGCTGGGCTAGTAGAAAAATGGAGTGGAATCTTCTTTCCCGAAAGAGTTACTATATGTGAATTTTTTGTTAACAATTTTGGGGAAAAACTTGATTTGACGAATTTTGAACATCAAACGATTGTAGGCGCTTGGAGTAAGTATCAACGAAACCAGCGCATTTATGAAATGTTCAAGAGCAGGTGTAGTTAAAGCGTTTCAAGATTTGACTGTCAGGCAAAAAAACTGGATCTCAGCAGGAAACTTGTGGTCATCCATTGACTGGTGAATACTTGGGCTGAACGGAAAGTCTCCATACTTGTAAAAGACAACAGAACGGTAAAAGAGCAGAAAATCGCAGCGGATCTTAATCAAAGATCGTCTCAAATGATCTCCGAACGTACAGTTTGCTGTATGGGATATGGATGCCGAAGGCAATTTTGGTCTGCAGCTTTACAAGATGAAACGTCTCACATTTTCTAAGAACACAAGGATTGGAAAGTGGATGATCGGAAACAAGTTATTTAGTCCAATGAATTCCATGATCAGTTATATAATGCAAATGGGCGAGTGAGCATTTGGCGCAATTAGCACGAAAGCATGGACATTAATTGCATTGCTGCAACCCTTCACGCAGCTGAAGGTGTGATACTTTTGAGAATGATTTCCTGGCATTCTTTGGGCCTTTTATTTCGTGTTCATGAGTGTCTGAATAAACTGTAGTATCTGAACATTGTTGCTGACCAAGTACATTCTGTTATGTTGATTTATCCCAATGGCAATGGTGGCGATGGCTACTTTTAACAAGATAATGCGTCCTATCATAGCGTGGTATTGCACAGAATTGCTTTGATGTCGAAGGAGAGTCTCTCTTGCTTAGGTGACTTCTACAATCTCTAGATATCAATCACATTGAGTATTTTTGAGATGAAGTTGCATCTCAGTTACGTATTCCTTTGTTTGAATACCATCCGTAATTCTGTTCAATATTCATATTTTGGCATTTGTAAATTTTAAAATGTTAACTTAAAAAAAATTACGAAAAATAACTTTTTATATGTGCTTCCGATCCCTATGTTTATATTTAGCATAATTTTATATTCATTATAAAAAATAAAATACAAAAAGTATGATTGCTATTCGACACACAAACACACACAAAAAGTAAACTGAATTTTTCATTTTATTATTGGAGTTCATATAGGAACATAACACAGAGAACATAACTTTTCAAATTCGAGCCATTTTTGCTCTAGTAAGTTAGTAGTACTGACGGTTACACGATTTTCATCTGTTGTCTTTGAAGTTAGTGGTGGAGTAGACAAGAGTTTCATCAAGAAAGTAACGTTCAGTGATGAAGCGCACTTTCTGTTTAGCTTCGTGAACAAACAGAATTGCAGGATTTGCGGCGTCATATTTGAAGAAGTACGGCCTAACTACGCCCTCAGCCTAAATGCCACTCCAGTCACTCGGTGTAAATATAATGACTTCTCCATAATTACTGGAGGGTTTTCTGAGCCTCAAAGTGACTTTAAGTGACAAGCATTTCTATGCAGACTAAATCTCAATTTTCTCTAGATAGATTTTTCTCTAGGTAGATTCTCTAGATAGATTTTCTCTAGATATTAATAAATAGATAGATATCTATCTAATCTCAATATGAATTTTCTCTCTATCAGTTTTCTCTATCTAATCTCAATTTAAATTTTTTCAAGAGAAAGATCTTACTATGTTTTTCAGTTACGTACTGCGCTAATAATACGGAACAGTCACGATAATTCAAGAATAATATACTATAAGTGACTTGATGATACAGTGCAAATCTACTTATCTATTCAAATTTTACAATATTCATAATACGGTACAAACGCTATGTGATACAAAAGGCCTGTTATAGTGCTGATAATATGAATTAGAATAAAATTATAACTCTAAATCTGTGTCTGTGTATTGGTTTGCAAATTCGTTTGCTCAGAAACTCATGGTATGATAAAGTTTGTTTCTTGCGTGCCTATTTTTAATAATAACCGTTACTCATGCATTCCAGTTCTGATCGCTAGGTTTATTTAGGCATTGCATTGATTTGAGAGGACAGTGGAATTAAAAGTGTTTTGGATAACCTGTTCCCCTACATTTGCAACTGTCTATGCTTCAGACCTTGAAACTCTTTAAGTAACTGAGGAAATGATAACTGACTAAATGACCAGTAAAATGTTGTAAAATGTTGACAGGCAGATAGATATAAGTATGGAAAACACCTAAATATGCACAAATAGTAAACAGTTATCGTCTCTCCATACTATTTCTCTAAAACAAAACACTCATTGATAGGTTACATTCTATTTGTAGAACATACTATTGCACTCTTGCTATTCATTATATTAATATAACTTTGCTTTAAATAGAATGAAAATCAGCATGCCTAACTATACTTTGGCTTAGTAATTGCGAAGCAATTGCAGTTAGCAAAAGCTTAAGACTATAAGTTAGATTCAGTAGCAAGGAAGTTAAAGCAAAATGATGGTCAACTTATGACACGAAGAGCTCTCTGAAATTCAGGAAATCTGAGCTTTTTTTTTTTTTACTTTAACTAATTTGCATTTTGGCTAAAGTTGGCGAAAGTGTAATTAAAAGTAAAGCAAAAATAATAAAATAACTGGGTCTATAAAATTAAAACCTTAGGTATAATTTTTCATTTTCGTAGTTGCATGAAATAAGGGCGTGCTGTCGATTTTACTCGACATATAAAAGCTTTATAAAGGTATCGGAAGATGTGTTGTAGTGGAAGAAACCGTTGTCGGCTCAGGCAAACTCGATGAGTTGATCGCTAATCGGGTCCCCGCGTTATGACGCTATCCCGGCATAATTCTTCCGATTTTCAATTTTGTGTAGTTGCGAATACTTGATGTTAAAATTCGAAAACAAATGGGAAGTACCGAACCATGGAAAGCTGGGGGAGTACGATGTACGAGTCCAACGGATAGTACCCCTGTAATTGCAGGCCTTGACGGAGGTAGTACGCATGGCAATGGCATGTAGGATAGTGATAAAAGAAATTGCCTAATCTCACTGAGTCCATATGTGTGACCAGTTTGCATAATGCACATTGAATATACAAAGTGGGAAATAATAAAAATATATACAATATATACAGGAAAATAACACCAAAACAAACACAGAAGAGCAAAGGAGAGTGTACAGGAGTATCATACTATAGGGAGATTCACTATGGCAGATATCTTAGGACCGCAAGCGGTCGTTTGCTATGTGTTACATTGTTAAAATCATAATGTAGAACTGGTATAGTACTGTTATTTACATTAGGAATATTTTTAAAGAATTTTTCTGCCAGCAGAGAAAAGTAGGTGAAGAGGGTGGGGATTTCTAACTCCTCGTGAACTGCCGTGTTTCTAATGAACCAGCGGCAGTTGTCTGAGGGTTACATTTTGTAGCACTTGGATTTTCTTCATATTAGTAAGGCTGGTATATCTCCAAAGAGGGCAGGCGTAAGAAAGTATGGGACGCAAAAGGGTTTTGTAAATGAGCAATTTGTTATCTATAGAGAGAACAGAGTTCCGGCCAATTAAGGGGGGTAAGTGTTCGTTTACGGACACGGAACTTGGCAATAAGCTGTGTAATGTGTGGGGTCCAGGTGAGTCGCCTATCTAAAGTAATACCAAGGTATCGGGCTTGCTTAGTCCACTGGATAGGGATATCATACATAAGTATGCAATCTTCTGTATCGATGCTGGTCCTTTTCGTAAACGCAATGGCCTCGGACTTTTCCACATTGATTTTAAATTTCCAGGCATTGAGCCAGGACTCAAGTGGACTCATGTGTGATTGGAGTGCTTGTATAACTGGGCCAGGAGATGCATTTTTTGAGAGAATTGCCGTGTCGTCGGCGTACATTGCCAGGATGGTGTGTGGTGATTGTGGGATATCGTTCGTGAAGATATAGTAGATGGGCCCAAGGAGGCTCCCTTGCGGGACGCCGGCCTGATAGACCGTGGGGTAGAGTGTGTGTTGTTTACACGAACGATAAAGTGTCTATCCTTAAGATAGGAGTAAGTGATGGCTGTGATGTACTCTGGGAAACCCAGGGTGATGATTTTGTACATAAGGCCCCTCCAGCCAAACACGATCAAAGGCTTTAGCTACATCGAGGAAGATGGCACCTGTGGTATAGCGTTCCTGGAGTCCTTGAGAGATGAATTCGGTGACCCTATATAAAGTTGGTGAACTGTGGAATGTTTCTTGCGGAACCCATGCTGCTGCGGAATGATGATATTGTTGATTTCAGTATGAGCGAGGATTGATACTGGTCTTAGCATTTGATCCTGGCTTATATGATATCTTCTATTCTTTGTTTGCGGGGAGATCGCACTGTTTTCAAGCCAAGCATATTAAGATAATTCAGAAATGCACCATATCCTATCAAAACTCAATTTAAGAAGTAGGAGAATGTTTTCAATTTTTTATTATTTGATTTTAGCAAAGCACATCTGAGTTACTGAGATTGCTTTCGTGGAATATCGTGTAGCCTGGGAATTCGTAATTACTTTTCTTCCATTCTTCACATATGTTCAACGCCTAGCTACAACTTTTCGGCAAAAAACTTGCTACTG